ATGAACTTAAGCATGCTGGCAATAATGCTGAGGCTTCGGTGTAAAGACAGGCTTAGCAATCATTCAGAAGAACTGCGTTATTACCGGCTTTGACTAAACCACATCTCAGTTTTCGTCCTTATCGGTTTGGATGGTTTATAGCGTGCGGATTATCTATATCCAGAGATCGAGTATTTGGTATTTGCAGTTTTTTATACTCAGGCAAATGTAGATTGATTTGAATTGATCAACATTGTACCCTTTGTTGAACGGAAGTTGTATCACAGATATAACACACAACTGGCAAAGGAATATGCGATACGAACTTAATTTTTTAATAATTCTAAAAAATAGACATTATGGCTCCTGATCTGCCATAGTTTTCCTTATTGGTTTGTGGCAAGTGTGTGCCTGCTCCAGATTAATTAGGTATAAGTTTCTTAGTCAATCGGGTTACTGTTGCTTGGCTTATCAATTGTGATAACATTCAGAACAGGATTTCAGGTCTACCGTATGGATTGTGCGTCACTATCCATCTTGTCATACGATCTCTTACATCATACTTTCCCATATCTACATTTTTGAGGCAAAGATCACCTTCCGAATACCCACTTTTCAGCAGTGAAATGTACGCAGTTGCCATTAAAAAACTGCCTTTTCAGGCCTACGAATCAGCAGCCAAACGTCTAATGCTGGAGAATAAAGACTGTGTAAAAGTCGTTCCGGAACTAAGAAAAAAGTCTCGACGCGAATACCTGAAAAAACGAGAAGTCGACAAGGTGGAGGAGCTTGAAGCAGACATTGAAGATGAAGTGAAGATTTTTTCCGGCGAAAGGTACTTTCTAGATTTAAATGGAATTGAGTAATTAACTATTAATTTAGACTAACGAAGCGAGAGAAGGCTGATTTTGAATACCGTAACAAAGTTTTGCACTTGGCGAAAGAGTACAAAAAGGCAGGGGACATCGAGAAAGCGGAACGTTACTATATGCCAGTCGAGGCGAAGGTACCAGTGATTTTCAGAAATTGCCAGATATTTTCATTTTTCTTCCGTTCAGAACGTTTCAAGGAGATACGTGGAAGTGGACACGCGCGAACTGGGACCAGGGGGTGAACAGCGCAAATGGGAGGAAGAAAAGTTGATGAACGCTTTGATTAAATTCGGAGCTCAAGATGCGAAGCAAAAGGTACTGGTCACTTATACTTGCTAACTGATCACCTGTTTCTATTTCTGCTGTTTTTTTTTCAAGCGTCGTGACGGCGAGTTTGAACTCGTACTGGAAGACACTGTTGACTTTGTCAAGGCACTGCAGATGCCGGGAAACGTGGAGGTAACAAAAATTATTGCTCAGATACACCGAGGAATGTTAAAACAGTCTTGTATTACATTTTTATATTCTACTGACGCACTCGACTTAGGCTCCATAGCAAAAAGGTTTTTTCGAAACTATACGGACACACGTAGAAAATGTTTGCCTCTATCAGGAAACCAGTGAGTCTCCAGGACGTAACAGCGTTCCTTTCTGGTTGTGCAGCGTCACAGACGAATCTCCTTCGTTGTTTGTGGCCATTTCTTTCTGGCGGCGCCATTATCTATAAGCTGTACATAAATGTCGATGAGCGGGAACAGCTGCCGCACCTCTGGATTTTGTCAGTCTCTTGTATCAAAGGGTCGCCTATGCACAAAGATGAAATGGACAGCCACAATTTTATGCGTTACTATTTTGTTATCCTTATACGTTGCATTAAATTATTTTATATCGGAGCTGCCCAGTCAGTAGAACGTGAGACTTAGAGCCCAGAGGTCCTGTGTTTGAGCGCTGATTTGGTCACTTGCCTTTCTTCCTTGGAAATATAGAAATATATGTAGTGCCACTCTGTGGAAAGGAAACATGAGACTAAACACCGTTCTTGTCATATAGCTGCTGTCGACTCTGCCTTTAAATTACGCACTTATGGCTAATTGCATTAAAATGTCATCGCCCCCACTACTAACTTTATGAAAACAGGTTTTAGAAATGTAATCAT